ATGGGTTTCTTTCCTCCCTCAAGTTACCTCAGCTACTCTTCTGCTACCCTTAGGTGGATCAGAAGAGCTTTCTCTTTCTTTCTGGTGGGAAGGATCACAATGGAAATCTTCCGTCTCCAGGGCAAAATGGTTTTGCTTGTTTGTTTTGTTGTTGTTTGTTTAAATCCGCTTCCTCACACGCCTTGCCCCCCCTCTTTTTTAAAGAAATCTTCTGTATTTAAGACCTTGGCCTGAAGACCTGTCCCATTCATGCCATACAGCAGCTGGGACTGTCCCTAGTCTGAGCTCTGATCAGAGGAGAGATTGAAGACTTGCTCTTTCTCTGGGGAAAGAGGCCTTACATTGTTTGATGATTTCAATGGCTGACACTCTCTCCAACTCGCCCCTTCCTCTTCATTCCTCACACTTCCTATGCACCCACCCTACTTCCCCAGGCCAGGATGGTTGGCGTTGAACCAAAAACCTCTGAGGGAAGGGGAAATTAATGTCCTTTTGGCTCTGGGGACCTCTTGGCCCTAGCTGAGACCATTATTGCTCCTTTTCCCCAGGAGTGGGGTTGGGTTAGAGGTGGATTCTCATTCTCCAGCAGCTAAATTCCATTCTGCCCATCCTGACCATCCTGCCCTTAGCCCTAAGGCCCCGTTTCCTACTGACCAAATCTCTTTACCTTGTTTGGGAGAAAATATTTTGTTTTTAAATCTATTTTCTAACTTAAATGCAATTTAATATGTAAATCTCTGCACTTTTGTGTGAGCCTACAAATGTGTATGTGTTGGGGTTTTTCACTCTCTGGTATTTCTTAATAAAGAAATCTTTCTTTTGGGGGGAAGCCAATTAATGAAGGAGACTTGAATGGTTTTAGAAATATAGGGCTGTGTGTTTCTTTGCGCTTCTGCCTCATTTCTTTACTTGTGCCTAGTATGAGTGATGGCCCCTCCCTCGCCTTTGAAACCCCCCCTTTCCTTTCAGAGGGCCCTCAACTTAGTGGGGGGAGAGAAAGGGGGAGGGAGGGAGGAAGTGAGAGAGAGAGAGTGTGTGTGTGTGTGTGTGAGAGAGAGAGGGGGGAGAGGGAGAGGGAGAGGTGTGGGGAGGGAGAGGTGTCCTGTATCTGGTTCCCCTCTGGGACCACTTAGATTGACTCAAGTGGTAACCTAGCAACTTACCCCCTTCTCACTCCCTGTAGCCTAACCCTGTTAGTCGTTTCTTCCAACTCAGCTCATTTTATACTCCTGAGGCTGGGACCAGGCTAGAGAAAATCACCAAGAGATCACAGTAAATAGCTTTTTTTTCTGAAAGATAATAATTTTTTTCTTATGGTGCTACTTAAGAAGAATCACATTCCTAGTAATTCAAAAAGCATTTGTATTACTTTTGTGAATGCATTCTAGGACTCTCTTGCTGTTCTTAGGCGATGGGTTTTAAAAATAGCCTCAAAGACTCAAACTCTGAATATCATTGATTTTAAAGGATGCAAGCCCAACACACAAGAAAGTATTGGTGAATTGCATGTTTTGGGTAAATATGAAAGGGGAATAAGAAATATACACACACATATTAAGAACCTTCAGATGTCCTATAGAACATGAATACAGGTGGAATATGGTATAATCGCCAGTCCTAATAATTTCATAAATAAATACAAAATGATCATAAAATGTGAATATACACGGGGTTTCCAGGAATGCAGCAAGTATGTAGATTGTGGAAAGTTAGTATTATACTTTGTTTGGAAACTTACTATGAGCTATTCTTGTCTGTAGTACCATTCTTGAATATTGAAGTTGCCATCACAATCTACCTGTGTGAGTATGTTTATATTGCATTCAACAGTGATCTACAGACAGTAGGCTATCTCTTGTACTTTATTATATATCTTAGCATCAACATTTCCAAGCAATTCAATTAAAATGCATTATCTTATAGATTACTTTCTTTTAGTGTTTCCCTTTATAGTATAACTAGTACAATAGGCTCTTTTTTCTTGAGTTCCATATTCACAGACTAAACTGACCTTAGATTTAAGATATTCTTAAAAACTTCACCTGTGCCTTGTGTGGTGGTGCACGTCTTCAACTTCGGCATGTGGAAGGCAAAAGCAGGTAATTTCTGTGAATTGGAGACCAGCCTGGTCTACAGGTGACTTCTAGGCCAAACAGGGCTGCACAGTGAGACCCTATCTCAAAACAACCTGCATCTGTACTAAGCATGTCCAGACTTTTGTGTGTCAATATTCCACAATACAGTGCACTGAATATTTGAATGATGTGACTCAAAGGTTCTGTTTCTAGAAATATATAAGGCTGTAATTACAGATATGCCCATATATTTTAGAAGCAGAACTATTGAGTCACAGAGAATGCTCTTGGCCAAATTGTTACATGGAAAGGGTATCATAGTTCTGCCAGAAGTGTATCAGAAAGCTTGCTTCAACCGTATCATTTAAACATTCAGTGCAATAATTTGATAGTATAAATCTCAGTGTCATGTACTTTTATATTTGCTTGGTTAATAGTGAGACTAGACGTTTTCTGTACTTTTCATCTATATTTATGGACACTTGTATTTCCTCTGTGAATTATCCGTCCATCGTCTATGTTCTTTTGGTACCAGGTCATTTTCTGATGAATCAAATAAATCAGAGCTTAGGGCTCCTACTCACTCGTGGGTCTGGAAATGAGAGGACCCTTGATTTAGAAATGACTTTACAATTCCAGAACACAGGCTAGAGTTACCTCCTTGACATTCCATGTTTCTTAGCTTGCTTTTTTTAAATACTTATCTTTATATTTTAATTATGCATATATACATGTATGTTTGCTTGTGAGTATGTACCACAGGTATACAATGCCTGCTGAGGTCAGAAGAGGGATTTGAAGCTATAGAGAGTTGTGAGCCACCCAACATGAGACACGTGATGGTTATTTGTCATAAAATGCAGCCTCTGTTGAACAACATAGCTGAAACATGACATGGGCCATGCTGCTTGCTTGTGTGCTCATGATCTTTCTGTCTCCAAATTAAGTACAAAGACTTATGCAAAGTCCCATAAAGAGTTACCAGTAGAGCCAAGACCAAAAGGAAGATGTACTAATTTCAAAATCTAGAAAATTTTGTAGTGTACCCCACTCCCTCTATGTTAAGTGAGTGTAAGAAGGAGTTTGGATTACTACAGATGGCATTAGAATGAAATAAGCCTTTGATTTGTTTCATAGTCAATAAATAATTTCTGAGTATTGTGTGGTATGTGTTAGGGCAGTGGTTCTTAACCTGTGGGTCGCGCAGTTCCTCTGGGGTTGAAGAATCCTTTCATAGGGATCACATATCAGATATCCTGCATATCAGATATTTACATTATGATTCATAAAAGTAGCAAAATTACAGTTCTGAAGTAGAAACAAAATTAATGTTATGGTTGGGGGTCACTACAACATGAGGAATTGTATTAAAGGGTTGCAGCACCAGGAAGGTTGAGAACCACTGCTCTAGGGTTAACAGGAGAAACTGCATTGCTGACATCATTCTCTCTTAAGCATATTGACACATGGCAATGATTTTTTAGGATTATTTGTCATTTGGACTTTATAGGAATGATGCTTTTTCTATTTTAGGGGTCAAGTTGAAAAGGGGTTGGTTACGTAGTTTTTGTTTCAAAGTTAAATCTCTCCGATCTTTCTCCAGACCCCTGCACTTAGGTTGAACTGGTGAGGTTTCTTTAGTATTGAAAGTCAGGAAATTGCCTTGCCAGTTCCCACAATCAAGTTGGCTGTGCCTTTGTGAGGGGCCATTGCCTTGTGCTGATTCTGGCTTTCTGACGCTATCCCTAGCAGGTCCCAGAGGTAACGGTATACAAATGCTATATTGGTCACTGTGAAGTTATAGGAAAAGGTGAAGCCTACATATCAAGTACTATAGAATTCCATTTATTTAAGTACTTCCTGGAGGAGGAGTCCTGGCTGAGTCCAGAGGAGAGGCAGTTCCTTCCCACTTGATTGTGTTCTTGGTGAGTAATAATGTAATGTGGCCACTGTTGTGTGAGAAGTGAAGGTAGGTTCTATTGTGAGAGAGAGCTGGGAGAATCACTTTTTTTCCCAGCTTGGAAACCTCATACCTCATCCTGAATTTCCTGAATGGGGGGGGCGGTGGGCTCTGCTGGGACTATGGGACTGTAGAGCTTTTTCGCCATGACTTATATTTCAATGTCCTTGGGCCCTGCGGTCCAAATACAGTCTCCACTCTTACGAAAAGTCTGGGTGGGAAGTTCAGAGACTGGGGGAGAAGTTGAAAGGTTACCAGCAGGGACTAGGGCCTCTGCCATGTGTTGGCCCACACTGCTAAAGGGGTTGGGGGTGGGTGGGAGAGAGAATGGTGAGGGTCTGTGGTGAGCTGGTCAGAATCTGCCTAGAGTGGTCTTAGGTAGAGTTAATGAGATATGGAATCTATAAGTGAGAAGGGAGGCCGCGGAACTGGTATGTGCCTATGCCAGGAGCTGCTTCTCTGATGGGAAGAAGGAAAATGTACCTGTCACCTTGAATTGGACAGTAGCTGACAAAACTTGAACCCTTTCATCCAGCATTTAGCAGGCAGGAGTCTGTACCTGGGACTGATAATCTACCAACTGGACAGAGCTCAGGGCTGCCGGAGCTGCCTAGACTCCTTAGAAGGACCTTATCTCCATCACCAGCCTCCATTGTAATCGGAGTTGGCACCCTCAATTGACCCTTGAAATCCAGCATCTCCTAGGTATTTGAGGATCAGCAGGGCCTGTGGATATGGGCATCTGAGCCCTATTCTCAGTAGGGATGTTTGGAGGGAAGGGTGGAACCAGTTGGAGCTTTAGATGGAGAGTTAAGTTAGCAGAGTCAAGGTTTCTTGCATCCTCAGGAAGGGGAAAGATGGCCCTGAAAGGGCAACAAATGGATATTTTGCCAAGATCAGATTTAAGGACCTTCCTGTCCCTCCCCAAACCCTCTATCCACAGGAAAGAAAATGGGAGACGGTAATTAAGTTCTATTTCCATTTATTGTTACTAACGTCTTTCCCCAGTACCCCCCTATTTACAATAATTCAACCACGCCAGGCGGTGGTGGCGCACGCCTTTAATCCCAGCATTCGGGAGGCAGAGGCAGGCGGATCTCTGAGTTCGAGACCGGGCTGGACCAACAGCCTCCAAAACAATACAGAGAAACCCTGTCTCGTAAAAACAAAACAAACAAACAACAACAACAAAAAAAACCAATAATTCAACCACTTCATCCAAACTAGATTTTTACAAAAGTTCCTGGTAGTAGATCAAAAGCATGGCCACTTACTGACCAGGTAGTCCTACCTGTGATGGGCACAGTTGACCTTGCATCTGGAAGAGCTGCTCTTGCTACTGAAGTCGGGGAGGGGGGGCAGTAAAAGATGTGATGATCTCCCCACCCTTTGGAGGTAGGGTACTAAAACCTTTAGCCGAGCAATGTTGGGTTGAGTGGAGCCTCCAATGTCAAGCAAAAGGCTACATAAATGACCAAATCTGGGCCCATCCCTGCATCTGGCTTGCACAGAGGCGATTGTGTTATTCAGCCAGCCTGTGGGAAATCTCCTTTGAAGGGAACACTTACCATAAGAGATACAGGCATTGTTTTAAGCTGGGAGAAGGTACTGCTCAGTTTGAGTCAAATGGGAAGGTATGACATGAATGAGAAGGACGAGCTATTTCATTGGAAAGCCTGAGACCCCTCCAACCTCCCCAAGAAGCCCACTAGTGTCCTGGATGGCAGGCAGTTGGAGAGCACATATTTAAAGATACAGAGTATCAGTCGGTGGGGCTTTCAAAACTGCACATTTGAATCTTGGGCAGGCTGAAGCCAAAAGAAGGGCAGGCATATAGTTCAAGTCTCATGGTGACTTAGTGGTCAGACCTCTAGAACACTGAGAAGGATACTGGGAATCGTATGTGTAGCTTCCTTGAAACCTCTTTTAAGGAATTCTGGATTTACCCATAGCCAACCGAGGTCTTTTGAAACAGCCAGGCTATGGGACTGGTTTGAAACAGTGGTTTGGTATTCTTCTTAGCAGGTTTGGGGGGGCCTTGGTCATAGGGCATGACTAGGTCCCTTGGTACCCCACTTGCATGGCCATAGTGAGAGAATGGGAGGTACCAGAAGGGGCCATGCTGTCAGTCACTGGTAGAGGAGAGGGTACAGAAGGTGGGATATGCCTTTGGGCAGCCCCTTATCCACACTGTCTGAGCCTGCAGTACCCTGGCAGGGCATTTCAGTCATAAGCCTCCCCGGTGACACAGGGCCAGATTCTGCACCAGTCCTCTGTCTGGTCCTGAGTCATTCTGGGAGGCCACACCCATCCCCGCAGTCTCTGCAGCTTGCCCTCTTTCCTTCAAGGAGCTCCGGCCAGGGAGAGCCCCTGCAGCTGCTCCTCTGTGCCTGCCAGCTCTGCCTCATCACGCCCACTCTCGGAGCCCTCAAAGCAGCCAGAGTCACGTGGGATGTCCACCTTGGGGTCTGACACTGTGTGCAACACGGGCTCCTGGCTGCTCTCAGCACCCTCTTCGGCCTCTTCACTGCCAGCTGTAGGAATGAAGACAAAACGGAGAGACTGGGTCCTAAGCTGGTTGAGGGTGGAGGCATGGGGTGGGGACCGGTCATGGGCTGGAACCCCTGGGCAGTCTCCTGTAGGCAGCCAGCTCAGCTGACTCCCTCCACCAGCCCTGCCTCTCTTCTCCCCACTTCCAGCGAAGAAGGCGGGAGTTTTGTTCCCAGGTCCAAAAGTTCAAACATCTCCAGAACTGAGCTGGAGCCAGGCAACCTAGACATGGTCTCTGAGGTTATTGCTCAGCTTCATGTAAATCCCTTGCCTTCTCTCGCCTTAATCTCCCCCTCTGATCCAGAGGGCATTGGGCCTGATTACTCATATGACCCCCCCCGCCCCGGCCCCAACAAATTTTCCTGGAAACACCACCTCAAGCGTGGAAAAGTGCCTTCCTGCTGCAGGGGCCCGGGTGGGGGGAGCCTTTGGGGCAGAGCATGGTTAGAGTACAAGGTCTTGAATTCCAGTGAGAACCTATGCCCTCCCCCACCAAAGCCACTCACTGTCGTAGTCCAGCAACAGCTCTGCAGCCGTGAGCAGCTTGGCCCGGTGCTGTGGGTCCATGATGTTGAGCTCGTTGAGGTGTGTTTCCCGCAGCTCTTTGAAGTCTTCCAGGGTCTGGTAGCCGTTGAGCAGCAGGGTGGATGTGTGCTCCTGGGGGGCAGAGACAGGCCATCAGCAGTCCCCTTTATAAGCCACCGTTGTCTGAAACCTTTCCCTTATATATAGCAGCTGTCCCCTTGGCCCCCATCCCAGTGGCAATTATGCCTCCGCTACTTCCAGACACAAATGCAAGTCCAAACTCAAACCTCCAGGCCAATGCGCTCCAGCAGTTCATGCAGAGTCTTGGGCTTGGGCCTCTTGCCTTTGCTCTGTCGGCGGCTGGGGCGCACCGGCCCCACAGCCTCCTCGGGCAGCACATCCACATAGATGAACTTGAAAGAGCCCAGTTTGCCGTTGAGAAGGCCCAGCCATGTGCCCACAGGTGGCTTCTCTATGATCTGGATAACATCTCCTTTCTGTGGGGAAGGAGAGCAGAAGAGAGCAGGGGGAGGGAGCTTTTGGCTTCTGCTGATACTTTTGATACTTTTCATGACTTGTTTTGTTTTCTTCCTTGATGACTGAAGCCTGCCAGGCTCTGGAGGGGCCCAGATGCCAACGTTACCTGCAGTTTCAGTGAGTCGTGGTCATAAGGGCTGGGAGTGAAGTCAGTGTGGACTCGAGCACGACCGCAGAAAGGCCCTGTGTACTGGGGAGCAGGTGTCTCCTCCATGAAGCTTCCAGATCCTGGGCCAGGGCTTAAGAGTTCACTGCCTGCAGGACATGGACAGAGAGGAAGCACATCTGTGTCCCAAAGCAGCTGAGGTAGACAGTGCCTAGTAGAGGCACTACAGGGAGCCCCTAAGGAAACACCCTTGGAGAGACGCTGCACTCTTGCAGGAAGAGCAGACGGGGTTCAGCTCGAGCCCCTTAGCTGGAGAGCTGGCTCATAGAGTCTACAGGATGGGCAAATCCAGAACATGTCTGGGGCCCAGCAACTCTCCAGGTAGGCCAAATGCCCGCCCCCAGAGGCCTCTCATCTGTACTTGGTGCCACTGGGTCTACCACCCTCCAGGTCTCCTTGCTCCCACTATAGTGCTCCTTCCGTACAGGAAGACATGCCTTTCGGGATTCTTTTCCTTTCTCTGTTTTATAAGACAACATTCAATAACAGGGCCTTATGAAAATGCAGGCGTACTCTTTCTACCTGAGAAGGGCAGGGTGATGGGTATTTTAAGTGGATTTTCAGTGGGAGGCAGAGAGAAGTTTCTATAGAGGCAGAGAAAGGGTGACAAACGTGGAATGAGCCCGAGGGAATTCTTCAGTGCTTGTCTAGCCCCTGCGCACTTCAGAGGATCTGAGAGCCAAGAGGCTGACTCTTTAAACTGGAAAATCTATCTCAGGACTTCAACGTGGGGTGTTTCAGACACTCAAGGGGCTGTAGCCTGTAGGTCCCCTTGGACGGCTGAGGACATACTGGTCCAAGAGGACAATGAGGTTCTTCCTCTGCTTATGGGCCTCTCCAGGCCTCAGATAGCAAGTGGAAGCCCCTGCAAAACAGACCTGAGTTCAATACTGGCTCACTTGGCAAGTCACTTAACTTCTTTGAGCCTGAGTTTCCATGTCGACAAAGTGGGGATAATAGTATAGACCCTATCAGGTTATGCTGAAGATTTAATGTGAAGTGAGTCGAGAGGTTCCAGAAAGTAGAAGACAAATACTCATTTCTCTTTCAACCCTTTCCCAGAAAAGCCCCTGGCACTGCCCCAGTCTGTCCCTTCTCCAGATCTGGCAGCTGTCCACTCCCTTCTACTCACCTGTTGATGTCTGGCGACTGAGGGCTGGAAGTTCACGTTCCTCCTGCTCTGAAAAGGCCAGGGACATCTTCTCAGGCCCAGGGCTGTCCAGGCTGCAGTCTGGAGATGTTGGGGAGGCTGAGCCCTCCTCCAGTGTGTCTCCCTATAAAAAGAGTGTTGGAAGCCCTGAGAAGCCTTGCTGTGGCAGGTCAGTCCCCAATGCAGTGAAGCTGGGCATGGGTTTGGTTCGGATAAAGTTTTGTTACCTACAGGATATGGGGCCATATTCTGAACCTTAGTTTCCTCTTTTGGAAAAATGAGGATGGCAGGTCCGGTTCTCCTACATCACAAAAAGAGGCCCCCAGGATACTGAGTGGACATACTTTGTCGGTTTCCAGCTTTGGTGGACACGAAGAAGCGGCCAGGGTGACTAAGCTTGGACGTGAGCGGTTGCCGTGACATGGTCAGGCAGACAATTTTGTCTGAGAACAATTGTCCACAGTCTTGTGTGCCAGGCTGGCCCAGCCACTTCCTTTAACCCTCACAGTAACACTTGGTCTGAGTTTTAAGATGCGGAACTTTGCCAAGGCCTGTGGGAAATGACAACCAAGTTGGCTGGCCCCAGAGCTGCTCCTATCTCAGCTGAGTGCTTCTGAGCATGTGTTCTGTAACAGCTGGTTCTCTTCAAATAAAGGACTGGGTGATTTGCCAATCCCTATTTTGTGAATGTTCCACATCAATGGGCAACATCTGGGTACCATTGCATGTCCTTGGATGAGTTGTCAGAAGAGATATCTAGGTTATTTCCGTTATGCAGATACTATACACACATCAGCAACATGTGTAAGAAAAAAAAAGTTGTGCTGGAATTAGGAGATGATGCATTTTGAAGATTTTTATCATCACCTTTGCCCTGACTAGTGTTATGCCAACTTGGCACAAGCTAAAATCATCTGGGAGAGGGAACCTCAACTGGGAAAATGCCTCCATAAGATTGGGTTATAGATGCTGGGTGGTGGTGGCGCACGCCTTTAATCCCAGCACTCAGGAGGCAGGCATTTCTCTGTGAGTTTGAGACCAGCCTGGTTTACAAGAGCTAGTTCCAGGACAGCCTCCAAAGCCACCGAGAAACCCTGTCTTGAAAAACCAAAAAAAAAAAAAAAAAAAAAAAAGATTGGGTTGTAGGATATTTTCTCTATTAGTGATTGATAGGGAAGGGCCCAGCCCATTGTGGGTGCTTCCATCCCTGGGCTGGTAGTCCTGGGCTCTATAAGAAAGCAGGCTGAGCAAGCCCTGAGGAGTAAGCTAGTAAGCAGCACTCCTCCACGGCCTCTGCATCAGCTCCTGCTTCCAGGTTCCTGCCCTGTTTGACTTTCTTCAGCGATGAACAGTGACATGGAAATCTAAGCCAAATAAATCCTTTCCTCCTCAAGTTGTTTTGGTCAATAGTGTTTCATTACAGCAATAGTAACCTTAATTAGGACAACTGTTGTTTTTAATAGGACATATTTGATTTAAAGCTCTCTCTCTCAGTCTCTCTCTCTCTCTCTCAGTCTCTCTCTCTCTCTCTCTCTCTCTCCCGTGTGTGTGTGTGTGTGTGTGTGTGTGTGTGTGTGTGTGTGTGTGTGTGTGTGTGTTTTACCATTGGTGATAAAACCCAGGGCTTTACATGTGCCAGGCAAGTGCTTCACCCCTGATTTCTGTTAGTCTATAGAAGTCGATTTCTAATAATAGTTCTATTTAACAACTGGCTTATGAAATTCATGACAGTTAACCAACTGCCCTCACAAAGCTAATTGAGTGCTCTAGGCTACTGGGGCTGTGCCTGCCCTCACAGCTCTTTGTCTCACTTTCCTCCTGGGGCTGAAGTTAGCAACCTCTATTTTCTCTACACTCGTTGAGTTAATGAAGGTTCAACCAATCAATTTCTTTATTTTTTACAGATCTATTTATTTTTAATTTATGTGTATATGTATGGGTGGGGTGATGTGGGGGGGTACATGCATGTCAGTGCAAGTGCCTTCGGAGACCAGAAGAGGCCACTGGATACTTCGGAGCTGGAATTACAGGTGTTTTTAAGTCCCCCAACATGGCTGCTGGAAACGAACCCTTTGTTCTCTGAAAGAGTAGCAGACACTCTTAACTGCTGAGCCATCTCTTCAGCTCCACAATCTGACTTTCTAATGCTTGCAAAATGACACCATTCAGTGGGAACCACACTTTAAATCTCGAATTTGGATCTTTGCCCAGGCTGGCACTATATAGTGTGATCCTCTCTGGTGATGCTGGGTAGCAACAGCAAGTCATAGCTCTCCATCGGCCACATGGTAAATAGAGGAGCATCTGTAATTTTCTCTCTGTTTTCCTGGAATCGGGCCCTTTTAAATCAATCCCGGCTTCTTCCAGTCAGAGCTTGGGGCTGGATACATTCGGCTCCGGAGAGCTCATCTTCCTTTCAACTGCCCTCACTCTATGCCTGTCTTTGAGAAAGCTTCTGTTGTGCACACTTTCATCTTTCCTCCGATTCAGTTCTTTCCTAGCTAGGCTCCGGCTGCCTGTGACAGGTGGTAACCCCCCACCCCCGCCATCACTACCCCCTTCCTGCCCCAGTCACCACCTCCATATGAACAAGCTGCTTGCCCTGAGAGCACCTGCTCATCTCAGGAGTGACTCTGCAGATGATTGTGCTCACTTCCCTGCCTCTTTAGCCCTTCTTGACCTCACCCCACCCTTGGACTCCAGGCCTCACCATCTCCTCTGACAGGGCCTTCACCATCATCTTGCCCATCTTCCTGTTCATGGTCCGGGAAATGACTGCCCTCCACTTCTTTCCCAACTTTTTGCCACTCTTCCCAGAATCCTCTGGGGTAAGAACACCTGAGTCATCTTCTGGAATCTGTGACAACAAAAGAAGAGGTTCAGAGACCTTGGCAACACTGGCTTGGATCCAGGTCTTGAGATACAAAGCCGTCTTCAGGACCCTGAAGTGGGGGGGCGGTGGTAGGATGGAGAGTGCCACCCCACCCCCCCACCCTGTTCCCCTTTGGTGCTTAGGAGAAGTGACCTTTCTGTGTTAAGGAAACTTTGTCCCAATGACACTAAAACCTCCTATTTCCCCTCCACCCTGCCCCCTACACTTCCCCTACTCAATGTATGCCCAAGAATCTCTGAAACTCACATTATCATCCAGGTTAAATTCCTTCTCGCTCACCACAGGGGAGCTGGGCTTGGATTTGGCAAAATCCTTAAAGCTGCTGGAGCGCTGAAGCGAGAGCTGGGAAAAGCAAAAATGTTTTAATCATTGTGCTAAAATGACTGCCCAAGGGTGGATTCCTTCTCCCTTCTGGGCACATATGCCCACATCAGGGCTGGGCAGAGCAACATAAACCCTAAGGTGAAGGAACAAAAATGCATTGTTCTTCATTCTATCCCTGGCCACAGAACAAAGGACTTCAGGCCTTGGGTGCCTCATACCTCAATGCAGCTCCAGGCTAAACCCAAATTCCCATGCAGCTGAGGTTTGGTTTGGGAACCCTGGCATGAACGAATCAATGGGTCAGAGTCAGCGTACACTTCAGCATCTGTGACAAAGTTGTACGTGAACTAGGAGGAACTCCCTCCCAAAAGCGTTTCTCTGGCCTCCACATTCTGGTGTGCACTGAGGCAGTGACAGGGGGAAAGATATCCAGGTCTATAGCCTGATGAACTCTTGTCCCAGGAACAAAGAGACAATCCCACCAGATGCCTGGAATGGCACTTTCTAGAGAAACCACAGTTAGAGGCTTCCTTATACAAGGTGTCTATAGGTTTGGCTCATAAATGATTGGAGCTAATTCAGTTCAAGAAAGCCACCATTTTCTCTCCATTCACTACAGTTTTTAACCTTGGCCACTGGTGTGAGAAACTGGCAACTGCCAATTTTTGCCAGTGTTTGTGGACTTCTACACACGGCCTATTGTTTGTGTTGATGAGACTATCATGTACATGGTGAGATATCAACCTGAAAACAGGACAAGCCAGGTAAATTGGGGGGGGGCGCTATAGACACAAAGAGTTGAGGCTAAGCCTGTGTCACGATAGATAAACAGACTAAACCAGCAGACACACACAGGAACCAGAGTTCACAGATGGCCAGACAGATAAAGTGGGGATAGACTTCAGACACTCAAGATAAGGGCTTGAGGAACCAGAGCTCCAAACCCTCACTAAAGCTAAAGGTTTCACATCCTTCTTCCTACTAAATGGGGGTGTGTCCAGTGTGACAACCCCCAGACCAGGGGGTGACAGCACTTTCTCCTCAAGCGCAGTTTGTCCTAACTCCTAGAGACTGCAGTCTGGTACGTTTTCTGGGTCTTGACCAAAGCTGAATCAGCAACTGGGTTTCAGGGTCATGTATTCCTAGAGGTAGTTGTCCAGAAACTAGGTCAGCAGTCAGGCCAAGCAGAAACCAGAATCATCCGGGGCCACATAAGTGGGTGCCTGGAGCCTCAGTTGGTAAGTTTCCTTTGTGATACCTTAGAGACCTAGAAAGGGGGCTGTGAGTGGGTATACAGAGAAGAATATCGAAGCTTGGGGTGATTTCCACGATTCCCATACTTCTCCATCCTCATCACCCCTCCTGCTATTCTTTCCTCCTTTTCTTTCTTTCTTCCCCCTCTCCTCTACTTTCCATCTATTTCCTTTTCTTGTATGGTAGGATGCAGCTGCCTGGATAACTTCCCCCTCTTATTGCATGGAAAAGAGGGAACAGAGAGAGGGTGGGCACCAAGCTGGCTTGGTCCCAAGGAGAGCAGGCTAGGTTGCTATTTATAGGCCAGTGGGACCTATTGTGGCCTTCCCTCCACAACTGCTTAACCTAGACTCCAGAGCAGGAGGCAGGAGGCTGAGAGTCGCCCCTGAAGCCCCAGGGACTGGTGAGGCTGGAAAGCAAGCCAGAGGGCAGATGTGGGGTGGGAAAGTGGGCTTTGTTAAGAAGAGTAAGCTCACTGCTAGGCTGTTCTCTTTCTCCAGACCTTTTCCTGGTATTAATTTGCAGGCTGTCAAGTTGGGAGGAGAGGCCTTTGACTCCCGGGCTCCTGTGATGGCCCCTCTGTCTTAGCTTAAGCCCAAAGCAGGAGGCAACCCTTTCAAAAGGGCCATGGAAGTAATTCTGGGGTTTGGGCCCAGCTGGCCATTATTTAGTCCAGATAAACAAACAGGACAGGCACACGTTCTTCAAGTGATCAGTGGCAAGAGTCAGCTAAGTGGTCTTTTACCAGGCCTTCCTCCATCCTCAGGGGCAGCCACAAATATCTTGGCTGGCTTTGGTTTACCCTGGGATAACCTAGCACAAAGACGAGTTGAAATCCATGAGCTCATTTTTTTACTATCTGCCTTCCCTTTGGGGTGAAGCCTGGCTGGGAGTTGTGCAGGCAAGGAGGAAGTACCATGTACTGGTGGCCTCATTTTCAAGTCTAAGGAGAGCATGTGGACCTCTTGGAAACAGCTACACTTTGGGCAGCGGGTGTTGCTAAGTTCAACTCTGGTATGACTCTGGTATGTGTGGCCTCAGATGACTTATTTAACCTTTCAAACCTCAGTTTCTTCTTTTCTGCCACTGACCAGCTATTTTCTCTGTGCTCTTGTTTCCTCATTAGTAAAATGAAGATTAAAAACTCTATGCTCTAAGCTGTTGTCGAGATGAGCCAAGTGCCCATTTAATGCTGGCAACATCACTGGCATATCTGGCCCTCCTGGGATACTGGGTTATGTGTAGCCTCTGTATGACTGGTCTGCAAATTTTTTTTTGTTTTTACGAGACAGGGTTTCTCTGTATTGTTTTGGAGGCTGCCGGTCCAGCCCGGCCTCAAACTCACAGAGATCCGCCTGCCTCTGCCTCCCGAGTGCTGGGATTAAAGGCGTGCGCCACCACCGCCCGGCCAGTCTGCAAACTTTTGTTGTTGTTTTTTTCAAGACAGGGTTTCTCTTTCTAACAGCACTGACTGTCCTGGAACTTTTTATGTAGACCAGGCTGACCTTGAACTCACAGAGATCCACTTGCCTCTGCCTCCCGAGTGCTGGGACCAAAGGTGTTTATCATCCCACCCGGCCTCATCTGTAAACTCTTAACCTGGACATTTCCCCATCTAAAACACTTTATACTTCTAGTAACTGCCTGAAAAAATCTCCTTTAGATTTTAGTATACCTGGAGACAGCACAAATATCCATCAACCATAGAATGGATTCATTGTGTCAGAGTCATACAAGAGGACAATAACCAGAAATGTAACTGTCTCAGCAATATTTTTTATTCCAAAAACATGAATAAATCTCACCAACACACAGTTGATGAAAACTGGTCAGCTTCCCCCAAAAGTATGACTCATAATTCTTCCTCCACAAAGTTCAAAGCATGGGGGAACTCATTTATGCTGTCAGAAGTCAGCAAAGTGGTTACTCTTGGGGAAGGGGGGTATGTGGTGGTGAGTAGGGTGGTGAGAGAAACTTCTGGAATCTCAGAAATGGTTTATTTCTTAAGCTGAGTGCTGCCTACCTGCGGATATCCACTTTATGGAAACTCAACCATATGGATATCGTACTCAGACAAAAGGTGGCTTCTAACTCTAATTTCAAAGGCAGTACCCTACAGAAGTTCTCCCCTGATCACCCTGGGTAGCTTCACACTACCCCAGGTGGTTCACCTTTCTTGCATTCCCCCTGCCCCAATTGCCCTCTAAGCTGCTTCAGTGATCTGGGTCCTAGCCTCTGTGTGTATGTGAAACCATCAAAGAAAGGTTAACACCACCCATATGCCCACCAGTCTGCCACGTTCTTCACATGCCTCAGACTACTCCAGCATCACCAACTCCATATTACATCCCCACCTCTCAGCGAAAGAAATGGAGATGCCGCGAAACCAAGTGTTCTAAGCGGAGTCCCATGACTTGTAGAGGAGACACAAGGACAAGGCACTCCTAAACTCAAGTCTGGGGCTTGACACTGGGAGGCCATGTGCACTACAGGGCTTGTGCCACCTCACATCGAGCTTGGTCACTGCCACACCAGGATAGAAACGGGCTGAGTACAGGACTGACTACAAGTGCTGTTTGCCTGGAGCAGCCAGGAGAGCGGGTGGGAGCAACTGTGGAGGAAGGACTCGGGCTTTGGGGGACAATGCACATTTAAATGGATTCAGGCAGGAGATGGGATACCTCTCCACTTGGAACTAGGAAGCATTTGAATGAGAGTGAGAAGCTAGGGGTAGTCTGAGCTGACCTGTTGGTAGGTATGTCCTGGGAGGCAAAGCAGGAAAGGCCCTGGAAGGTGTTTGCTAGCCATGCCCCTATAGATGATGGGGAGCCCCAAGTTGAATGTCATTTAACTGAAATGCTTAGGACCCAAAGTGTTCCACATTTCAGATATTTTTGTTTGGTTTTTCAAGACAGGGTTTCTCTGTGGAGCCCTGGCTGTCCTGGATTTCACTCTGTAGACCAGGTTGGCCTTGAACTCACAGAGATCTGCTTGCCTCTGCCTCCTGAGTGCTGGGATTACAGGCGTGTGCCACCACTACCCAGCTTCAGATTTTTTTTTGAGGTAGTGCCTCATGTAGCCCAGGCTGGCCTCTAATTTGCTGTGTATCAGAGGATGACCAATATTCAAGGGTAAAGAATGACACCTCTACCTCTTGGATCAATATCCATTACAGATTACATCTGTGGCTACCATCCACAGTTTACATGGTGCTGAGCATTGAACCAAGAGCTTTATGAATACTAGATGAGCACTCTAGTGACTGAGCTACATCTCTAGCCCTTCCAATAGAAAAAATCTAATATTTGCATATATATTTATAATGAGATATTTTGGCAATAAGGCGTCTAAACATGAATTTTGTGTGTACTTCATATATTCCATATATATGGCAATTTTATATAATGCTTATGTATGTTTTGATTATGACCTGTCATATGAGGTCAGGTGTGGACTTTTCTGCTGTGGCACCATGTTGACTTTCAAAATCCTTGAGATTTTGGAGCATTTTCATAATAAGGCTGCTCAGTCTGTAGTGATACTACAAGGCATGCGTTGTTGGAGTGCCATTCTAGAAGTGTGACACGTGGAACAATGTTCTGGTATTTGGGAAGACTTGAAAAGAAAGAGACTGTAGGCCGGGCGTTGGTGGCACACGCCTTTAATCCCAGCACTCGGGAGGCAGAGGCAGGAGGATCTCTGTGAGTTCGAGACCAGCCTGGACTACCAAGCGAGTTCCAGGACAGCCTCCAAAAGCCACAGAGAAACCCTGTCTCGAAAAACCAAAAAAAATAAAAAATAAAAAATAAAAAGAAAGAGACTGTAAGGAGGCAATGGCCCGGCACTTGAACACGAGCCTAGGTTCCTTTCCATTTCCCCTGGAGGGAGGCTAGAACATAAGGATGCATTGGAGAAGGGCTATCTTTAGGGGAGACAAGTCCAGAACACATCCCTCTCCATTCCTTCAACACTGACACTGATGTTTTTTGGAAGTGATAGCAAAGGGAATGCAGTGAGTACGAACTTGAAGATGATGCAAGTATCCACGGGGCAGCCAAGGGCCAAACCCTCCCACTCTGGAACATCCTCCATCCCTTATGAAGCACAACAGGAGCCATGTTCTGAACCTGCTTTGTGTCCCAAGGCCTACCTCCTCCTCTGTTCTGTTGGCTTGTCTCTTAGTTCCCAGCTATCTGGGTGTTCCCCACAGAGTTCTACTGGTACACTGAAGCTTGTGCTGATACTCTCTCCTGGTGTTTCTGAGATCAGTACGGGGACAAGGGAATGCAGCAAGGAGTCAGTAAAAGTCTGAAATTAAGTATCTTGGCTTGGGTCCCTGCAACATTAAAGCTGTTCTGGCAAATGTCACCAGTCTGGGCTTCTGGTGTGAAGTGAGTATAAAAGTAATACCTGTCTCTGCTCTGTGAGGTTGCAGTGACAAATCAGCAAGCTAAGCCACGAGCAGAGCCCAGCAAACAGCCTCTGATGAACCTTGCCTCAGTGGTGGCACTCCACAGGCCTTGTTTTCTGTACTTCAAGGCTAGAGCCATGGTTTATTGTTTGCACTGCGCTCCCTGTCTTAGCTCATGCCAAAATAAGCATGCCCTTGTAGGCAGGAGCACACATGTGACAGTGCTCTCACAACTCTTATTCCAGTGATCCCTACCGCCAGAGATTAGACTTCTCCTTTTCTTTCTGAGGTGAAGAAACTGAGGCCCACCGGAAGTCAAGGGTCCCAAGGCAGAACATGGCAGGATTCCAAATTCACTTCCTTGTGCCCCCCCCACCCTCCAGCGCATTCTCATTTGCAGTAGGAGGAGATGAGGCAGGGACAGGTGGGAGACGCTTCCTTTGTCCGTTGCTCATTCCCTTCCACCACATCACCTCAGTTTCCAAGATGGAGCTGGCTACCGCCTCTAGGCCTTGGGAAGATGGCACATTTTCTGGATGTTTGGTTGGGCTAAGGGCATATCTTACAGTATGGAGACAAGCTCATCTTGGCTCCTGGAGGCTGGTGCAGGCTCTGACAAGGATAAGGTGTAGTCTGCATGGACTGCTCTTCCTTAAAGGATGTGGACCGAAGACTTCTAGAAGAGGCCTGAAGGAATTCCCAGAGGCCAATCACAGAATCTGGGTAATTGGATCCAAGAGAGCGGAAAGGGATTTCTTGTTTCGTATGCCTCGCGGCACTGTGAGCTCTTTCTCAGGCTCCTTCCTCCAACCTGATTCCCCTGTGGTTTGGGGCCTACCAGAGTCTATGCAGCAGTCTCTGTTTCCCTCATGAGCTAGAGAGCAAGGGGAAGTGGCTTGGCTCTGAGGAGTGGCAACCAATGGCCTTTGGGGCCTAGTTTAGGTGGGGGTGGGGAGGGGGGGATGACAGGGCCCTGTGTGAAGATTCACAAGTCTCCCCTCCCCCACCTACCACCACTGCAACCGTAGAGAAGCAGCTGAGATGGGGGAGCAGCCACCCAGACCCTCAGAGATGGGACAGGATGCACACCCCAGTGCTCTGAGCTTGTTTCTCAGCTGTCACCCTCTGCCTGGGAACTGACAAGGGGCCTTCCCCACAGTCTACCTGAGTTGAATCCCGGGGGGGAAACTGATAGGGCACAGTGAAAGGCCTGGAGGCCCCTGACTATGGCTTGGGTGCTTGGATCTAGTCAGGCCTCTTTTGGAACATTCCTGTGCTCTCACTAGACATGGAGGCTGGACAGGCAGATTGCCTGGGAGAAGCCTACAATAAAATGAACTCTATACATCCAGTCAGAACAACCTGCATATGACAGAGTCTTCAAGAATCTTTCAGTCTAGCTACTGCCTCAGGAAGATGAACACCTCAGCCGTCCATGGCAGCTACCTTCCTTCCTGGCCTATGAAATATCCCTCCCCAAAGAAAACTCTCCTCCTCGGCTCTCACACCTACTCACCGTACCATCAGCTTCGTTTCTCATTTTTCACATGTTCTCCCACCCAGAAAGAACCCATGTAACCATCCAGAATTCACTGCATTTTGGTGGCCCCTTCTCCTGAGTCTGAAAAGTCCCTACTATTTCATCTCAGGTGGCCTGGGGAACTGTAGTAGATATGAGCCCAGCGGGCAGGGGCATGGCTCCTCCCAAAAAGTAGGGAGCCTGGGCTACTTTGGCTGGGCAAGCCAGTGGGGCCCTTTGACACAGAACCAGGCTAGGGGAGACCGAATTAAGTATGCTCTTGGGATTTGACCTGAGCCCTGTATTTTGTAATTCTCAAAATGAAGTCTGTGCTTCTAGCCCTTACACTTTTTAGCCTCATCGTTGTAGGGTTGTATTCTATAACTCTAGACTTCTAAAAGTCGTACTCATAGCTCTATCCGCCAGAGTTTAAAAGGTGTCTTCCATACTCTTACTACTCTAGTGACCGTTGAGCCCATCCCTTTGCTTTCTGGGAGAATGGCCTTCACCTACAAGCTCAACACACAGTCTTGGTTCAACTTCCCCCTACCAAGAATCTAGGAGGGGATTGGTGGAGAATATGGAGGAGGGCAAGAAGGAGTGTGTGCTCAAAGATGCTCCTTACCTTTTTCTTCTGAGTGGGTTCCTTGTCACTGGCGTTGGAGGGTTTGCGACGCAACATGGTCCTCTCCTACAGTGATACTCCTGCTCTGGTCTCCAAGGTGCTTAGATGCAAAGGTCTCTTGCCCAGCCTCACCGGCACCAGTCAGGTGGCACGGCATAGACTGCCTCCGGCTGCCACACTTACTTACTGCTGCAGTGGCAGCTTGGGGGTACGAGCCATGGACACCCAGCAGCAGCAGCAGCATACAGGAAACCTTGCCACGTGACCTACTCTTACAGCAATCATGGCCCCTGCTGGCCTCTAGGGAGGAAGGAAGTCCCAGTTTCAGTCTCCAGAGATTCTGATGCAGACAGATCTTGAGTTGAACAATCAGAGAAAAGCCCCAATCCTGTTGTCTCATGCCATTCACCAGTACTTCTTTTACTCTCTGACTTATTCAGGCTCTATTCTCACTGAGTAAACTTCGGAAATCAGAAGGTGAACAATGTCTCTGCCTGTTGAGTAAATGTCCCCAGTCAATTTGCAAATTCAAAGTCATTACTGCTATCACAATTACCATTATGGTCACCCCTATGGCCACTATCTCCATGGCCATCACTACTACTACCATTACCAGATAGTCACTGATCTACACCCATGACCTCAACAACTGTCATTGCTAGCATCCCCACTGCTGTCAACACACCTTAGCCATGATTGATAAAGCTGTCACTCTTGAGATATTTCCATTGCTTCTATCATTTTTATAGTTGTCACCCTTACAAACATTGCATTTATGATGCTCTTGGTACTACAACCTTCAATAACCCTGTATCCACAACTCCTACAGTTATCATCCCAACAAAAATCCACATTTCCATCGGCACACTTATGGCTCTCATTCTAGATGAGGTGTCTACACTCAACACCCCTCAGCTGCCACACAAAGCTGGTCAGAACAACTAAGAAATATTTCTCAAGCAATGCCATGTGAACAACAGGTGCCCCATTCAAAAATTGTTTATCTAATGCCTATGCACCACACTCATCTTGTGAATTATGTGCGGCAGATGATGACAATGGCAATGATGATTTGCAGTGTTTAGGGGTCTAACCCATGGCTTACATACACCAGGTAATTATGATACCATTAAGCATTTGTGGCAGATGTTTAAATACTTTCAATGACTCCTGTTTACTACAAAGCAACTGCTATGCATCAGATACACCTTAGCAAATATAGATGAACAATAAAAAGAAACTTCAAAAGTCTCCATAATCAGCTTCCACGCTGTTTACATAAATGTCTTTTACTGTTTTCAACATATAGCACCTCTGTTTACACATAAGTCTATTTCTTCGAAAAATCATACTGTACAGGAGGCAGATCATTGGTTTGGGGAGACTTGGAGAGATGGGAGGCACGGATCACTATGAACACATAGAACTTTTTGGAGGTGATGAATATGTATGCTATTTTGATGGTAGTGATAGTTTCATGAATGTATGTTAAAACTTAAGAAACTTAATGTTTTAAAACTTTTACAGTTTACTAAGTCAATTATACCTCAGGAAAGTTGTTTTTTAAAGTTTGAATGAAGAAACACATTTCACAAGCTGTTCGTGTTTGCTTTTCATGTGGAACATATTTATATTTTCTCGTGTGCGGGGTCTTGTTTCGTATCCCAGGCTGCCTTGTAACTTGTGATCCTCATGGCTCAGCTTCCTGGATGCTAGGGCTGTAGACATGCACCACCATGACTGGCTGAAATATTCGGAAACTATGTGATGATATGTGTGTATGCGTGTGTCCACGTGCACACTCAGGATGTGTGCTTCCTGTGTGTTCACATATGGAGGCGAGAAGTCAATGCTGGCTGTCTTCTTCTAGTGCTGTCTACCTTAGTTTTTTGAGAAAGGGTTTCTCATTGAACCTGGAGTTCACAGTTTTCAGCTATACTGGCTGGCTAGTGAACTTCTGGGATCCACGGGGCTCTGCCTTCCCCATCCTGTACTGAAGTTACAGATGCATGCCACTTCACCAAGCTTTTATGTGGGTGCTAAGGATCCGAACTCACGTACAACAGGCAATTTCCTCAAAGAGCCATCACCCCAGCCTGAATTACATGATCTTTTAAATGGCTGCTTAGCATTTGGTTGTGGGAAACCACAATAATTGTCTTGGTTGATTTTGAAGAAAAAAAAAAAAACAAAACAAAAAACAAAAGCACCCAAGTACTTATTGAAAGTCCTTAAGGTAAATTTTACTCAGTCACATCTATAAGTTTATTATTAGGTTAAACGTCCAGAGAGTTCAGAATCGCTGGGGTAAGAGATGTGCACCTTTTTTCTTTTTCTTTTAATATCTTTCTTTTGGTCTCTCAAGATAGGATCTCTCTGTGTAGCTCTGTCTGTCCTGGGACTTGCTCTGTAGAACAGGCTGGCCTTGAACTCATGGAGATCTGCCTACCTCTACCTCCAGAGTGCTGGGATTAAAGGAGTTTGCCAGCACTGCCCGGCACACATTTTTTTCTTTTCTTTTTTCTTTTTCAAGACAGGGTTTCTCTGTATTGTTTTGGAGGCTGTCCTGGAACTCGCTCTGTAGACCAGGCTGGCCTCGAACTCACAGAGATCCGCCTGCCTCTGCCTCCCAAGTGCTGGGATTAAAGGCGTGTGCCACCAACGCCCGGTTACATTTTTTCTTAATTAAAAGACATTTTATTTTTATAAAATAATTCTTCCAAGAAGGAAGAAGAGAACAAGTAAGAAATAAACTCTCCAAGTGACATAAGATGAGTATTCGTCTTCAGTGAGGGGTCTTTCTTACCTGGTTCCTGCCCTCCTTCGACTTTTTTTCCTAACCTCGTGGAACATCATGAGGAACGCCAACGATACACCTTTGCAGGGTTCTCTGGAACTTGTGAAATCCTGAGCTGGCCTGCCCCAGCTCCCAAGATGTTCTCGTGACTTCCTCCCTGGACCCTACGGCCTTCAGATCATTCATCTGTTAGCTCAGGGAAGAAGGACCAAGTCCTTCTCTCTCAAGATAAAAATCGTATTTCCTCTGGCGCTAGTCCAGCCAAACTGACGGGCTGACTCGAGAAAAGATTCTGCCTTCTGCATTCCTTTCTTATTGCCTTGCTTTAAGTCTGAAAGTCTTCTCCTGGCTGCCTAGGGGCACTAAGTTAACTGGCTAAGGCTTTGCAGTGTGTTTAGGAGCCTGAAAGCTAGGAAGGGGACAGACGCTCCAGCCTGCGGGGTTCAGTGTGACCCCAGATGGGAGGTCATTCTCTCCAGGCTCTGGAATAGGGAGTACGGTTGCTTTGTCCAGGAACACCTGAGGCTTTCAAGGCCAGGGGGCTCGAAGGCGGGAACAGCACACAGAGCTTTCCGGGCCTGTGCATCGTCCCTGGCCGGCGCTCAGGATGTGCCCGCTTCCTGTTTGCCCAGCCCCAGCAACAAGCAGAGCTCACACAGTAACCGCAGAACCTTCAAAGGCTGCCAGCAAACCCGGGTGGGCGGTGGGCGGTGGGCTGCTGAGGCCTGGGAAAGGGGTGGGGGTGAAGTGGGAGGTGAAGTCATTTGGGACAGAGTACAGAGAAGTGACAGACCAGTCAGGCCAAGCAAGTGTTCTCAGTACCTCCCTGTCTCTTCTTGCAGATTTGTATAAGGCCCAGTCCGCAGCCTGTGTTCTCGGGGTTCAGGGTCTCCCTCATGCAGACTTGCCTTCCTCCAGCCTTTCTTTCAGCAGATGATCCTAGCTAGAGTCCCAGTGGGGCAAGCTCCCGGAAGCTAATAGGTCCTAAATACCTGTTTAACATGCTTCTGCAGCATATTTGCATTTTATGGGTTCCATTCCAGGTACAGAGTCTTCAGCTAAAGTAGTGACCCAGCGCAAAACAGTTCAGTGAACAAGGCCACGTTCACCTGCATGAGGGGCTGACAGGCAGCACCCAGGAGCTTGGTGTGGCCACAGCCTTGTGCTCGGCACTTGGTGGAAGTACAAGATAGACTGATGTCTAAGTCCCTTGCACCTGAAAGCTGCCATCCTAGGTGGAGTGGCAGGCTCTCATTTCCCCGCGCTCGTTCTTTGCTAATTACTCCACTAGATACTTCACAAATATTCCTCAGTCCCACTACAACCCTCCAGAGAAGCAAGGGAGGTAGTTTAGGCTAGAATAAATTATTGCAGAGGTACGGCCTAGAAGGAAGTATAAATGATCAGGTAAGGGAACCCTGATTTAGCACACAATTGGTGTGGTGTGGTGTGGTGTGGTGTGGTGTGGTGTGGTGTATGTATGCTGTTTGGGGTTATCCTACTGATAACAAGATGATTCTGAACCTTCAGGTAGTGGATGTAGGGGTGCCAAAGTCACCAGGCCCTTGTAGACTATGTTTACACAGAGCAGGCCCCCACCAGCACACCCAATCCTCTCTTGGTAGATAGATGATCATGGGTGGCATTTATAAGGCAGGTGGGATCCATTCCTTATGCCCCTTAATAGGTGCATCCCTGCTTTGAGATGCTAAGAGTTTGGGTGGTGAAGGATACTACATTTCCCCAAAGATTTTTTTTCTCGCTTCCTAATCCTCAGTCCTCCCTACACTCCAGGTGAAAAACCTGTTGGCTTTACAACAACTCTCCAACTCAGGAACTGTGCTCAGCCCCATTTTACAGGAAGTCAAGGTACAGTTAAGACACTTGCTCAAGAGTGCACAGCTCCTATAGATGGGAGCTGAGTTCTAAACATGGGCCATGTCTTGGTTGGGGCCACACTATTAAGCATTTGGTTAAGGTGCCTCTACAGATTTTTTAAAACAGGACATGAAAGCACGGTGGAGCCTTTTTGACATGCTTTTTCTCTGTGCTAGGACAAGGCTGGGCTGGGTACAGGACTGAATGCCACAGGGCCAAGGCGAAGCAGGATGAAGACGGCATCTGAAGTCACATCATGTGCACTACAGCTGCAGTAACTAGGTCAGGTTAAGTGGGAATGACGTAAGGGAGGCCTTTGTCATTGTGTCAAGGAGTAAACATCTGTCATAGTTCGCCTAGAGAGTTGGGGGAGGGATTGGTGGCACGTCCATTCCCAACAGCTGTCATACAGGCGAACGCATATGTGGCTAGGAATGATGAGGAATAGGAAAGTTTATTATCTAGATTCACTTGAAGGAAGAAATTTTGGATACTCAGCTGGTACTAATCCAGTCCTGGTTAAGTAGTAGTTCTGTCTCTAGAATTACCTAAGCAAGAATTATGTAGTCCC